GCTATTTCCATTGCAGAAGAAATGGTGCTGCTGTTTCTAAGGAACATCATCAAGAAAACATTTGTAAAATCAGATTGTTGTTAGATCATTGACAAGTTTCATATTCACTGAATCTGTATGAATCTATCATTACAGAGCTAAGAAGAAACAAACAACAAACTTTCGATCTAATTCTGTTTCACACAACATTACTTACTTAACTACTACTTACACAATATCAATGCCTCTTAAGCCACTGTTTGGTGAATCTTGATCTGAACCATTGCTACTCGTCTTTTTCTTGAACGATTTCTGACTGAAAATCCGAGAAACAGTTTTCCCAGGACGCGGAACTGATCTTGAACCGCTTTCAAAGCGGTTATGCTTCTTGTCTAGATCATCTGATAGTTTCTTGACAAGTTCCACAAAATGTCTTCTGAATGTTGGATACCTTGATATTGATTTGGTCAGTCCTTGAAGCCTAAAACCAAAACCAAACACAGATTAAAAACCGAACCATGATTCGTATACAGGGGAGTTTTTGTTTACCTGCGAGCAAAGGCGTCAAGTTCGGCTTTTCTGAGTTCGGTTAGAGGAGGAAGTTCAGAGTCAAGAATGGAGCTTTTAAGCCTCTCTGAATCTCCAAATAGTAATACCAGTTTTCCAAGATACTCTTCTTCTTCGTCGGATAAGTTCGCAGCGTTGATCTGGTCTTTAAGGATCAAAAACGGATTCAAAAACCAATCAAAAAACAAATCTTTTGGACGGTTTTTTGTAGTTATCTCCGTTACACCGTCACCTACACAAAAAACGCAGAACAAAACAATTCTTGAAACAATCATTCATGAATCCAGAGATGCTCAAAGAAACGGTTTTGTTTGTCTCTTGATCATGTTCAAATGGGTGATGGAAATTACGATTTATGGAACTGAGAAAAAACTGTTGAAACATTGCAATATACCAAGTAGCAAACCGGTGGAATTGGATTTGATGGAGCGTAAAAGCTCGTGAAGAAGAGAATAAGCGGGTAAGCCAATGCTGATCACTTGACTGCCTTTGCTAGACTTAGCTTCTTCGATGTCCTTTGAATTTATAATCCCTTTCGTTACCATAATCTCTCCGTACTGCCTACATTCCACAAAAAGAGCTTCCAGAAGCTGCAAAAACCAATACAGAATTTTGATTTTATTACAGAGATAACCAACGATATCGAAGGAAAAAATCAAGATAATGGTATTAGAGATTGTGAAGTACATCAAGTGGTTTCAGGTCAATCATTGGGCCTTTGTTTGATCCTCCTCTTGATGGAGTTGTCTTGAAAGAGTTTGGTCTTGAAAGAACACCAGTAAATGCAGTACTAGCACCCTCTTCAATTCTTCGGTACTTTGGCCTATAAAAGCAAAAACAAAAACTCGGTTGTTAGAATAAAAAGAGGGAGATAAAGATTGCTAGATAAGCCATTGGAGACAAACCTGGGAAAGCAAGAACCCTCGGGCATGTCAAGAACATCGTTGCTATACTCATCATAAATAGAAACAGAAGCAACAACATAGCAGAGACCGAAGAAGAACGATGACTCCTGTTATGACAAGAGAAACCAATTCAATATCATCAAAATCCACACATTTTGAAAATCAAAAAGAGCGATTTTTTTAATAACCTGATATGAGACTACACCACCATAAGTACCAAGGAAGACACTAGAGACAACTGATCCTAAAACCGCACCAACAACAGCTAAAGGCCAGAGTAAGATCACGAGGCCTGCGATTGGGACACACATTGTTTCCAAGAAAGGACCTTCACGTCCAATGAGATCATGAAACAAACGGCGCCAGCCTTTGAACAGCATGTACGGGCTTTTACATAAGGCTATCAGTGAAATCACCGGGAAATCAACAAGAATTCCGAGAACCGCAACAATTACAGCACCTGGAATTTGAAGTAACCTGAAAATTACAATAGTACTACAAACTGTAAGAAAGCATTGTTGAATTATAGGTATCACTAATGACTGGATTTCATAAAGATTTTGCAGACCTTATTTCATAATAATGACGATCTGCTCTAGTTGTTCTAAGATCATCCATAAACGAAAAGTAGGAGTGAAAGCAAACATCTTTAAAATCATAGACAACGGTGAAACTGCCTTGAACAGTGCTCCAAGTTCCATCCTAAAAACAATTGGAGCAACACGATTGAATAAAAACCCGCAAAAACATATAGAACACGAAAACGGAGAACACTTACATAAAAGCAATGGAATAGCGGATTAGACTTCCCTTCGCCAACAGCATCAAAGGTAGCAAATATCGGGGAAAGAAAACCATATATAGCTCCTCCGAGAACACTTCCTACGATACTAACCACAAGCCAGAGAATAACGCCGAGAGGAATACATAAACACAGAAAGATCTTCAAGATTGGTCCTAATTGTTTAGCACTGAAACCAAATTAAAAAAGATCCACTTCAATACCAAAAGAAGGTAAAAACAATAGTATTATTGTAGATACAGAGATTGTTTCAGCAAAGAACAAGTACCTCGATATCGAATATAACGTCCAAATCCCATGTACCGGTAAAAGTCCTAAGATGATTGCAAAGTTTCCAATAGCCACAATAAGGCATATAACCGGACAGAGGATGATACCTAAGCAAACAAAGAAGAAGTATATAAACGTTTAAATTGCCACAAATTAGTGACTAAATGATTCAATTGCAGGTTTATGGTATCAAAGAACCCTAAATTGGTTAGAAACACTAATGAAACAATTAAATTACTCTTAAGATGAACCCTAATGGGCCCTAAACAATTGAAGCAGCCAATCTCAGGTCAACATCACGATACTAAGTCAAATCCAAAATTGGACTTAAAAGAAAGGACTTTTAGACAAAATCATAGGAATATGTCATTCCGACAATAAAACCCATGATCGAATTCGAGTCTAGAACATGAGAATCAGAGTAAGATTTAGTGAAAGTTGTTACCTTTAATAACACCGAGGAGGAGTAATCCAGTGAAATAAGGAAGAAAGAGTATAAATTGCCAAAGAGAAGCCAAAATTCCCGTTGGAGGCTCCATTAATATATTATCTTCTTCTCTCTTCAAATTACCCAGAAACAAAAACCCATTAGTAAAAATGTCGCATTTATGAATCGATTTTCAAAAACCCTAGAATCAGAGAAACCGAATCAAAAATTAACCTTTGAAAAAGTAAAG